AAGCACACAGTTTGTTCGTCTGTAGCCGTGGACTTTGCAGGACTATCTTTCACTTTCTTCTGAAAGAATGCTATCCCGTTATTCGGGTTACTTGGTGCCTGATAAAGTGCTAAAGCGAATCGTCTTTTCTCATTTATCCGGTCTTCCTAAGCCCATCTTTTGTTCTTTTCAACTTCCTCCTAGCACTCCTAAATTTTGTCATCCTCTGCCCCGCATTCTGTCTAAATATTCGTGAACGAACTTGCCCAAGCAGCAGTGTATTGCCCTAATCAGCTGCGACTCTCTCTCATCTCCCCCCACCTTAATTCCCAGCTCTTCACAAAGTAGCAAGAGGTCTGGTTTCTCTAGCTTCGTTACCAAATCCATGGTATTCACGAGTGAGGACTTCCTTACCCGCCGTGACGTTAGGTAGCGAACGAGCGAAGCCTACACGCACCGTAATACTGCTACCAGTTTTAGAACATGAATGCTGAAATTTCGTGAATAGCTTTGACGTATGGTAGCGGTACAACGAAACCTATACGCAGAGAAGATTACACACAAATTTAGAAAAATTAAAAAGCTAAAACCTGACAAAACTCAAAGAAAGTCAGGCACTCACCAAATTGTTGAGACCCGAGTCAAGCATGGGTCATCCCGTTGCTGCTAACCAGTAGATGTGTTCCGGTTGTCAGCAGCATCCCACTGCTGCCACCAGTTGATGTAACCGGGGGTTTTGCCCAGAGGACCGGAGCCAGCCAGAGTCTCGGGGAGATGTCGAAGAGAGGAGCTGGGAGCTGCTAACAGTAACTTTTATTTACATTGTTTACAAGTAGCGTGTAACATGATGGTGGTAGCATCATGTAAGCTCTCAACGGAAGCATGATGGGAGCTTCTGCCAGCTTGTGAGAACTTGTCGGGAGCGCCTCGGCGCTCGCGTTTCATGTCTTGGCCTTCCCAGGATTCTCTGCATGAAAAACAATGGAGGCCGGGGCAGTCCAATGAAAATTGCCATAATCACCTTTGCCCTCGAAAGGGGAAGGTGAAACGCTGCCTTCTTTCCGACCAAGGAAAGAGAGAACAAGTACGCCCAGTTCAGCCCATGGCGAGGGAGAAAACATGCCACACCGCACGAAGACGTTGAGTCTTACGTGAAAGTCGATTTCGTAGTCTGTTGCAGTGATGGGTATATGTGACGCCAAGCACACCACAAATTGTGGAAACAGCGGCACCAAGGCGCCACGGAGAACGTGGGAAAGGCATCCACAGACGATTCTGAGATGCTAGGCCCTTTGCCCGGAGCACCTAGACAACAAAGCATGCCGTCTCGACGGCCAACAACTCTTCCTAATTCGTCAGTCGTTCAGGCGTGTCTAAAGGGTTTACGAGGGGCGCTGGCGATGTGGGATAACTAGAAGAAGGATTTCTCTTGCCACTCTTGGTGCATTTCTGAGAGCACTGACTCGGAAGAAATCAGGGTGGGCTCAATCGCAATGTCTCGTGCGTCAAAGCGGCGTCAAGCCATGCAGGCCGATCATAACAACATGTACAACTTCCGGGAGATTCCTGCATTGTGTTGTGCATACTTGACCTTAAGGGATCACTTCGTAGTTTAATGGGCCTAGCTAACGAAGAACCTTGTAAGGGCCAAAATAGTGCCGCATAAGCTTTTCTGAAAGGCCACGAGCACGTTCAGACGTCCACACCCACACTTGTTCTCCAGGGGAGTACTGAGCATCCCTTCGTCTTAGATTGCAACGGTGCGCGCCGACGTCCTGCTGTTGAATGATGCGGTTCCGTGCTAGTTGTCGCGCCTCTTCTGCCCTTTCTACATACTCCCTGATGTCAGGGTCTTCTTCATTCGTGCTGTTGACAGGCAGCATCGCGTCTAATGTCGTTATTACTGTCCGATCATAAACAAGTTGGAATGGCGTGAAGTGGGTTGTTTCTTATACTGCGGTATTGTATGCAAATGTAGCATACCATAATATGGTGTCCCCAGTCTGATGCTCGACGTCCATATACATCGCGATCATGTCAGCAAGCATCCCGTTCAGCCTTTCAGTTAACCTGTTAGTTTGCGGATGGTACGCTGTAGTTCTTGTGTGGTCGGTGTGAGTTAGTTTTATGAGAGACTGTACTAGCCTGGCAATAAACACAGTTCCTTTGTCAGTTATAAGGACTTTGGGTGGGCCATGTCGCAGCACTATCTGGGTCACAAAAAACTAAGCCACTTCATTTGCCGTTCCTTTTTTGAGAGATGACGTCTCGGCATACTGAGTCATGTAGTCGGTTGCTACAACTATCCAGCGGTTCTCGAACGATGTTGACATAAATGGTCCTAGCAAATCCATTCCGACCTGCTCAACAAGGACTTTCGGTGGCTCTATCGGTTTCAAAAAACCTGCTGGCTTTAGGGGCGGTACTTTGCGTCTTTGGCATTCTCAAGGTGATCTGACATAGTGCTGTACTAAATCCATCAGTTTTGGACAGTTATACCTCTGGCGGACTCTTGCCAAAGTCCTACTAATGCCCAAATGACCTGCTGATGGGTCATCATGACACGCTTCTAAAATTTCCGCTCGCAGTGACGATGGTATCAGAAGCAGGAACATTTCACTGGTGCGTTCAAAGTTTCTCTTGTAGAGAACGTTGTTGCGGAGGACGTAGGAACGTAGTCCACGGACGAACATTCGCGGTACTTCGACTTGCTGCCCCTCCAAGTATTGAATCAGCACAAGTAATTCTGGGTCCATTCGCTGATCATGAGCCATCTTTGACACATTCACAGCTCCAAAAAATGCGAAATCTTGTTCATGCTCAGGAGACGAGGCCTGTACTGGTGCTCATGACAAGCAATCCGCGTCATTGTGCTTGTGGCCATACTTGTAGACTACGATGATGTCATATTCCTGTGGACGCAGGCTACTTCTAGTAAGTTTTCCGAAAGGATCCTTGAGGTTCGCCAGCCAATACAATGAATGATGGTCACTTCTGGCTCGGAATCGTCTACCGTATAAATATGTACGGAACTTACTGATGGCCTAAATAACTACGAGACATTCCTTTTCTGTAGCTGAATAATTATACTCGGCTTTCGACAGAGTGCAGCTTGAGTAAGCAATCACTTCTTCCCTGTTCTGCCACTGAACAAGAATAGCACCGAGGCCAACGTTGCTGGCGTCCGTATGAATGTCTGTTTTGGCATCTTGTCAAAATGAGCGAGTATGGGAGGTGACTGCAAACGTGTTGTATTTTTTGAGCGAGTATGAGAGGTGACTGCAATGGTGTTGTCCTTTTTCTTCACAAGTACTACCGGCGATGCCCATGGGCTTTTGGAGGGTTGTATGACATCGTCGTCGAGCATCTCCTGTACATGCTTCTTTATCGCCTCCCTTTGTTTCGGAGCTACTCGGTATGGATGCTGACGTATTGGTCTAACATGTCCTTTGATTACAATGCGGTGGGTTGCTACGGGAATACATCCGACTTTCGATGAAGAGGAAAAACACTCTGCGAATTCTTTTATCAACTCCACAATCTGGTATTTCTGCAGAGATGTAAGCTCTCGGTCAATATCTTTTTTCTGGAGGACACTGTCTGCTGTTGAAGAGGTTAATGATGTGTTTTCTATGGCGCAAACATCTGAGACTTGTACGTAGTCATGAAGTGATGCTATGGCTACTCCCTTCGCTAATGCTGTACCTCGTAGGTAAAGTTAGTCGATAGCGCATCAATATATCCGTTCCGCAGGTTCACCCGACCTCTTGCCACGCATATCACCTTTGTGAGTAGCAGTTCGATATTTCCATCAGCTAGTCCGGCATATTCACGAAAAACGACATTTTTCACAACAACTGTCACGCTGCTACTTGGCGGCACTGTCACACCTTCATCCACAATACGAAGAGACAAAGTCATTGGTTGCTGCACATGACACACGACAACAGCGTTGTCTGTAGAGAAAGAAATCGGTATTTCTGCAGTATCATATAAGGTACGTGGTTACCAATCATTGGGTATACCGTATTTACTCTTATAATAAGCACACTCGCTTAATAGGTGCACCCCGAATTGGGTCGTAATCTGTAGTTCTTTGCCGTGTTTGCGCAGTTGCAATTGGATGCCCTCTGAAGTTTACTGAAGCGAGAAAAAAAGAAAAAAAATTACATGATCTCCCGTTAAGGAGAATCATTTGTAGATGCGAAGCAGTGGGCGCTAACGCTTACACTGGCGGTGGCGTTCACACTGGTGGTCATCATAGCATTGCACAGGAGAAAAACCTGGGAAGGTGCAAAGCAGGCAGTGATGGACTGTTGTTTCTCGCTGGAATATGCCAATTGCTGGTAACGGGCAATGAGAGACTGAAGGTTTCAATTGGATGCAGACACCTGCAATGGGCTTTTAGTTAATTTACATGCTGTAAATTTTTATAGCTCAGCAACACACAGGAGAAATCTCCCACCGGCACTGCCTTGGAAGTCAAGAACACTTCTGCATTGCGGGAAGTCGGAAATAGAATTATTAGTAATTATGTGCCATGTAATACTAGGTGCACCCTGAACTCATAGAGGATTTTCTGGAAAGAAAAAGTGCGCTTATCAAGTAAATGCGGTACGCCAACACTAATGTTTATACATCACAACTTTATTGAAAGGCACAAAGCGTGCTCGATAGGTGGTGGGTTTGTCACACGATGCACCTTTTTAACAACGAGCGCAATAGCACCATTGCTTCCTTAGATGGCACTGTCACAAATTCGTAGTTTCTGGTGCATTCTGTCGCAATAAGTTTTATTTGCAGGGTGATCCGCATTTCATTGTCTCTTACTGTGAGAGTGGTAGCCGGTGAATCTTTTCATTTTACAGCCAATGTACTTTGTTCAGGCTGGCCATTGTTATGACCAGCCTAGTTGTTGCATAATTAGCTGTGCTAATTAAATATGATGCATGTTTCTGTGCGGAAATGCATCACCATTCTAACTGCCTTATGTGCTTGATGTTGACCCTTTGCCTGTGCAGGTAACTGAGCTAGAGAACAATAGTGCGGGTGAGCGGCGACAGATCGAGGAACAGCGTGCAGAGTTGGACCGGCTGGAAGGAGAGAAGCACTCGCTGCTGGCCACCCTGCAGTTGCTCCAAGAAGAGCTCAGCCACCTGGAGCGGACCTCCTCGTCGGGCTGCGACCCTTTCTGCGGAGCCAGCAACTCCTAGACACTCCATGCTGCCTTGCCTACTGTGCGTAGCTGCCGCTAAGAGGAATGATGTAGAGCCACTGCTCCACCAAAGTATACATAGTCGTGCTGCATGGCAGTCATTGTTAGCCTGCTGCGTTGAAGCCTCGACTACGTCCACATTTAGCACCCTTTGTGCCTGTTTTCGATAAGTTGCGAGACCACCACCTCTGTTCACCGCACCTTGGAGTTGACAAAATCCTGGCCTGTCTGTTTCCGGAAGCATCAGCGCTCGATACCATGGCAGTACACCACTTCTGGCTCGCCGATGTCACTTTGGCAACATAACAAAACTGCGTCCACCCGCTCAGTTCCAAAAAGATGTGTGGCACTGGAAAGTAGTTTCCCTCGCAATTTCATCCCCATTGGATGACGGCATTCGGCTTACTGCACCGTCGTGTAGTGTACTTCATATAGAGTGCTGCATTTGTTGAATCTCATGGATTTCAAGAACGTCTTGGCAAGCGCCGAGGTGTTTGAAGTAATGTGGCCTTTGTAAGGCAAAATACAACAGAGATTGAAAGCAAGGAAATGGACACACTACTGTATTCTAATATTAGCAGAGCTCATGGCCGTCAGTTGACTTGCAGTGGACTCATTGTTTCAGTGCATTTTGAGGTAAGGCGGCAATGTTGCTCTTCGCCTGAACTAAGGAAAAGTAGCGCCTACATAAGGAAGTGCCCATTCTGATAATGGGGGTGCGCTGCTTTTTCTAATGTTTGTTGGAAGGACTGCTAGTACACGTGTTTACTGCTGCACATGTTTCGTTTTGTCGAAATTCACTCTGTTAGCTGGGGTCCTTGTTGTTTGTTGTCAAGAGTGAAATTAAAGACAATGCTAGCTGTACATAGATGTTTTTTTTTGCAACCTCCTGTACTAATGGATGAATCTTTAGTTACCCCATGTGTGAATAGGGTTGTGCGGCTCTGATCTCGGCAGCACATTGGAACTTATAGGGAGCTTCTGGAAATTCTTAAGGGTTGCTTACCACAGTGCAGCCTTTGTGAATTAACAATGCACGACCCTTATGTTAGGGCTTAGTTGCACACTACTTGCTGTCTGCCTTGGCCACTGGTGTCGCCTGTATCTTCTCGAACAGTCACAAGGGGCCCACACTATCCTTGAATGCACATCGAAGAATGAAATTGCTTTTGAATTCGAACTCGCTGGATGATCTCGGATACTTGTGTTTCTGTTTCTTAAGGCAATATGGTAAGCGACTTAAGTTGCAAAATGTCTGCATGTTACATAAGCTCCGTGTGAGCTGAGAGTGTGTAGAAAAGCTGCTTTAGTTTGATGGCCCTTAGCTAGTGCTGCTATATAGTAATGATGAACCGCATTTCTCTGTCATCTAGGATTTCCGCTAGCTCCTAATAGTGATCTTGTGCCTGCCAATAACGAAAATGCTGTCCCACCAGCACATTCATCAGTTGACCGATACTGTCTGCCTTATACAAGGCACAAAGCATTGTTTTTGGAAAGTCATGGCCATGAGTCTATTTTTTACTTCTACCTGCCAACAGTGTCTTCTATAGTCATCACTTTAGGCACGTTAGCATGTTTTGTTCTCCGTGATGTGTAATAATTGTTATGCAAATGTAAACAGAGGCATGCAATAATAGTGAATGTTCCTGCAAAAAAAAAAAAAAAAAAACTAATGCAACTAACATGCTAAGAAGTTTTCACTACTGTAAGCTTTCCATGTGCTGCACCCCAATTCTTTCTCTCTGGTGCTGTGCTTGGTGGACATTACATATTGGTGCAAATAATCAATTGCGAAAGGGTGCACTGAATGACTTTTGTGCAGCTTGGCAAGAAGCAACTGATAAAAGGACTTGAAATTTGGACATGTGTTAACTTTTGCTTGTAATCTGTAATAGTGGGACATCACACTTAGTATCCAATACTGTTCCAGAAGTCTGTACCAAAGAACTTCTATACTGATAAGCTATATAAAATAAATGCAGCTATAACAAAGTATTGCTTATAATGAAGTAAGCAGAGAATAGTTGTGTCACTAGTGTTTCAGTTATGCGCTTGGAATGAATTTGTGGATATAGCAAACCTTTTGATTTGTCATATCTGACTCTGCTATGATTAAATGTCACTGACATTATTTGCATTTCGGTTAGTGCAGCTTGCAAGCACACAAAATATGGTTTGTTACAGGCTTGCCTCATTTTTTGTGATCCCTGCCTAGTGTTTGGCATCGAAGGTACCAGAACTTCTCTCTGTTTGGGAAGTTCATTTCTGCAGTGAAACAAAAAAAAAAGGCTGTGGTACTAGTAGGAACAGTAACTTTGCGGGAGCACTTAGTCAAAAGCCAATGATTGATTCTGTCACACCATAATGTGTTGCTGTGATTGAAGAGTCAAAGTGATTTGCATGCTCAGTCTCTCTGCAGCAAAAGATCAAATCAATGTATACCAGTGCTCATAAAACCACCAGTTATATGTGATATAGCAGTGTGAAAACTTCACATTTAGACAGCAGTGTTGGTGTTGTGAATGGCAACAAATTTCCGGATGCATCTTAGCCTTGCCTCAACCGTAGTAGCAGCTGTAGTACATTTCTAGGGATTTTCGAACTCAAATTAGAGCCTGGACACGGTCGTTGAAAGAAGTTTTGCTGGAGGCCTTGAAAAGAGTGTCATGTTTCATGTTGATGCTATCTTTATTACAGGTCAGCCCTTTCTAAAGTTTTGGTGGTGGGAATTAAAAACTGGCTTTGCCCTTGATGTTATTCTTCATAAATACATCCCCCAGCCCTTATGACTGTAGATGGTATTCTGGTGATTGGTGCCCACTTGTCTTTTAACGTTATTAAGAAGTTTTGAAGAGAGTTGATGTAGAAAAGTGTTGTAGTGAGCAAGTGACTGAAGAATAGGGCCAATAAGGACATATGCTACTGGTCTATAAGCAAAATATAAGCCATAAGCAGGCCATCTTTCTCTAGTACGACAGTAACATTGAACGAGATTGCCGGTTCGGCTGCTTAGAAGTTCATAGTTTAAAAAGGAAGCCTTCTTAGTTTGAAGAAGTTAAAAGAAATGATTGGTGTAGCACTGAGTGAACAGTTACCTTTATGCAGACTAAAAAAAAGGTTCTTTTTCTTGGTCTTGAAGATACTATAAAAGCAATTTCTCTTGTGTTACGTTTCGCTGTTGGTCGCATGATAATCCAACTGACTTATAAGAGTGCTCATGTGCCACAAAAATGCCATTGTCATTACTGGTAATAGTTATAAACTTGTTTCATGAAAAAAATGCAAAATGATGGGATGGCAGGCTGTTGTCACAAACATAATAATATTAGATGAGATATGCCAACGCACAGCTACAGATATTTTGGACAAGCTCGAAAAATTAGATGCTCTCATGGCACCACCACGAGCCCCGGGGCGTCTGTGTCTAAGAACCTTTCAAATGTCAGATGATGAAACACTTCAAAGTTTTGTTTTTTGAACTTCTGGCCAAAATTGCATACCTGAGACTATAGTAACTGAATCGACTAATTTTTCAGGCTCAAAGCAGCGCTGTCTTTTGTCAATTCATTTGCAGCTATTGTGGATTCCGGAAGTGAACTTTGCAGCAACGCCTTTTTTTTTGTGGTGAAGCTTATTTTAAATTCAAAGTAGGCTACTTTTATGGCACGTAATGCCTCTTCTTCTCAGCACTGTGTAGCCCATAAGAGACGTGGAAATGCCATCGAAGAGGTGCGCATGGCTAGCAACATCAAGAGGAATACATCAAAGGTCATATTGTATGAGTGCACGGTGGCCTTTGGTGCAGTGGGCAGAGGTGCAGTGGCGCGTTCTTCTCACTTTCTTTTTTCTTTTCAAGGATTTTGAATTTCATTACCATTTGGTACAGATACCAAGCAGTCTTAATTTATTGTTATAATAGACAGTGCAACATAGGGGCTTTTTTTGTGAGCAGGTTACTTCACCATGGAAAATGCACAAAAGTTGATGATGCAACATCTTCTCATTGTTGCAACCAATATATTGCTGAAACCAGTATATTTATACCAGTACAGTTCACCTGTAACTCTTTTAGCACAGCTTGTAGGACCACTCGAAATTGTGCGTACATTACAGGTTTCTTAAGCGAAGCATTCGGTATCACTTGCATCTGAAAGGACTTATTGTTTTACTCGGTTCAAGAATAAAACGTGTGCTTCTTTCAGATGGAAGAAGGCAGCATGAAATATGAGCTAGCCACTGCTTGATTTTGGCAAAATATGAGCAAGTAAATGAGGCCAAAACATGAGCCCATCATTCACAGTCTCTTAAGTCTTTCTCTATAGTGTGTTGATTATTCATTTTCTGAAGCAGGTAAAAACTTAGTGTGTTTTAAATGTACATGAGGGATACTGGTGCGTCCCAAGTGAATTCTTTTCATTCAGTAGCACCATAAGGTATTAAGAAAATCAAGACATGATCAAAAAGAAAAAGTGGGCCAACAGCCATGTAGAACATGGTATTCTCTCTCTTAAATCCTCCTTGACGTTACTGATTGCTTTAACAGGTTTGCCATAAACTGCGACACTCATACACGCAGGAAAGAAACCTGGGCGCTCTGACCTACTTGCCAGACACCAAATACTTTCATCTGCATAGTTGCTGTAGTTTTATTTTACCTGGTACTGTGCAAGTCGTGCTGTTCACCGGAAATTTCTGCTCCCTTGCTAGTATGTGGTATGGGTGAATGGATTAGCATGATGTTACTCCATTCTTAGTGAAACTTGCTGTGTGTATATCTGCTGTTCGCAATGCTATACCATGTCATCTAACTGCGCCAAACTTCTGTCGCCTTATCCGTGTGTGTGTGAAGATTGCAGCAGTAAGTGTAGAATGTGTACAACACCGAATGTCTGCTTAAGTATTCATGAAAGCTTGTGGCTGTGTAGCTTCGGAGGAAAGAAAAGCCGCACTGTCAGTGTGTTTACTGCACTGGCAGTTTTGTAAAAGCTGGGTGTTTTTTGTGCATATGCTTGGTTTCCTTCAACAAAGATTTTTAGCCAGCACAGATTTACACATGCCTTTGAGAAGACCATGGATTGATGTTATAATTGCAGAGGTGTTTCTTTGATATAGTTAGCACAAAGTCACACTTTGTTTTGAAAAAGCTACCCTATTCGTCCTCGATGTTGTTTGGGATTTGCAAATCTGAGTTCATTAGAGGTAAGCACAATGCTCTATTCTCGATAACAGCTGTCATGTCCACTGGCAGACTATCATCGGAATTCGGAGTTTGTTTAAAACCGTGCTCTCCTGGTGAGGCAAGGGAGGGTTATTTGTCATCAAGGCGAAGCACTTTGAAACTGTTTTTGAAACCCGCATAGCTCTTCTGAATCGGCTAATAATAAAAAGCAGAAAGAACAGATCATTTGCTCTGAAACGAAAGAAAAGAAAAATTAAAATATGTCAGAATAAACCCTCGGTTTTTCACGTCTCAGTGGTCCCAGTTTTAAATGCTGTCTGCACCTGCAGTTACTATCCTGTTTATTCCTAAGCTCCTGGATTGGTGCATGGTCTATAGAGAATTACCATTTCTTCATTTATATCCTGTACCTAGAACCATATGCATTATGTTCCTCAAAGCAGTTTGAGCTGCCTCATGTGCAAAAAAGGTTCCAGACTTTTCACATTTTAAGTCAGTTGGTGCTCGTGGCAGCATTTATTTTTTGTCAGAATCTCGGCTATGAAAACTACTAGAGATATCAGTAGGAGGAGAGCTGAGAAATATATAGGCGTAGAAAAAAAATTTGAAGAAGTTTCAATTGTAGCATAGTTGAGTGGGAGCTTGGTAAGTAAAGCTACTTTTTAAGATGAAAAGCTTTGTTTCTTGGGCAGCTCTTTCAACTGATGTACTGTGCTGTAAGAAAAATTGTGTTATTATTTGTTATCAAACTACATAACTAAGCTGAGAGCCTATGAATATGACTACGAGCTGATACTTCGCTTGCTGCACTGCTTTGGTGTGCTGAGTTAGCATTTAATGCGAAGCAGATGTGACTGCCAAAATAATGCCTTCTCATCTTTTGTCTCTTCATTAAAATTTATACCTCTAAGTTCTCTATTGCAGCATTATACAACGAATAATACTCTTCGTTGCAACCTGTTCATAAATATTGGATGTGCTGCTCACATCATCCTCAATGTCTTCATTGCCTCTGCTTTTATTTCTCTAGTTTCCTGTACTGGATATATATTTTCTTCAGAAAATGCCCAACGCGTGGACATCAACTTATTTTAAAGAATGATAACGGAGCAGTTGTCCAAGCCTTCTCTGTAAAATATACACTACATAAGCAAAAAAAATGGTCAGAAATATTTTATTGCTCAATGTCTTAAACAATGCTTCTCTTAAGACCATTAAACAGGGTATCCCTCAAATCTGAACAAAACAGAATACAAGCAGAATAAAGGAGACAAGCTTGAATATCCACTTTCATTGTCCCACTTTGATTGCTTTGCAAGCACTGGTACAAACGACCTAGCTTAACGATGAAGCTGCACCCTTCGCTGTGGAACTGTTCTTCAGTGCATCCAAAGATTCAATGCTAAGTACATGATCAAAGCAAAGCTTATACGAGTTTATGTAGAAGTTTGCTTTTGACATTTTGAAATAATACCTTCATGAAAGAACAAGAAAATGCCAAGACAAACCTCGGTTGCATTAAACTGTTTTCCTATGCCTCAAAGTTATTTTTGGGCCAGATTTTTTTCATTGACTCAGACTCATACATTGGGCCAACTACACTTGGCATTCGTACGAGCAGTGAACAGCCAAAAGTTTCAGTGATAGCACTGTTGTTAAGTTGCAGAACGTTTAGAAACCCTCCTTCCCTTCGTGTGAATAACTGTTGGGCAGAGCATGCTAGCGAATGCTGCCTTGAAATCTTTGTTGGCTTAGTTCCTCATGTTTCCTTGTGTATTTAGCTGCTTCCCATTTTTTTTTCATTGTCGTATATTTTTTATGCTTGTATATAGTTACAGTTTGGCAACCTGCTCACTGTTTTATGGCAACACATTTTATGGTTTTTTGTTTGTGAAGCTTTTTTTTGCTAAAAAAAAATCTTGTGCAATGTGTATTGTGCACCACTGTGTGTGCGGCAGGCATTTCTCGTTTGGATTTGGTGTGCGTGTGTGCATATTTGTGTGCTTGCATGTCATCACAGGTACAAGCACTTCATGTGCAGTGGCAACAAATCGCTAATTTACTTGCTCCCTAGGAGTGGGGCAGTGTGTGAACTTAGATAGGTCTCAGTTTTTATTAGAGTGTGGCCTTAGCTCAAACCCAAGTGTAAACAGTTACTAGAGCACTGCATTGAGAGGTTGTACTCTTTCCAGCAATATGTGTATGTATGTATTATAGGTTGTGAAACTTCTACGAAGAAGCTGTTTCTTTGTGTGCTTAAACGAAGAAAGATCTACCACTCTGCCTCTCTCTTGTCTTTTTGGTGTTGAAGACTGCATGTTTTGTGAAAAATGCAACACCTCCTGTATTTTGGTTGTGTACTGCTTGGTGATCGGGTGACGTGGGTGAGCTGTAAAGCACGTATTGTGCAAGCCCGTTCGGTCGTTAGACAAGCAGGGCACTCATCAACATGTGATTTGTTGCTGTGGAGCAAAAATTGTGGACATAACATGGCATCACTGGCTGTGTAAGTGCAGAACATAAAATGTACCTCAAGGAACTGCAGATAAAATGACACAAAGGAAAAAATTAGTAGGTAGAGAAACACCTGGTAAGATTAAACAAGAACGGTGGCTGGTTTTCTTGGTGAAATCACTACAGCGATTGTTACTGTTCTTTGTCCCCAGGTGTTATTTTGCATGCTGTGCACTTAACTTCTGGAGTATTTGGGACATGTGACAGAGAGAGAGGAGTTTTACTAGCAAAGTTTTATTGTTCTCTGACTACTTCGTAACGAGACTGCTACACTGGACTAAATGAAAACGTGAGAAGGCTACGATGCACATTAGTTGTTGAATATAAGTGTGACATCACTGGCGTTTCTTTTTAGCAATTTTAAACATTTTTTTGAAAAGTAAGTGAACCAAATGTTTCCCAAGCAAGCTTATTTCTGTGCACTCGTGCCTGTTTATTTTACAGGAGTTGTGTTATACACTGTGATGTCTGTGGAAGTTTCGTTGTCAAGCTGCTGGAAAATGTGGGTGCATTGAAGAAGTGGCATTAACTATTTATTGATAATATCACTTGTGGAGTGCATATGTGATTGCCAACTAAATTGAGTCTTCCACTGTGGAGAGGCAGCTTTGGCAATTAATTTGTACAACCTTTCATAGGTTTGTTTCATACATATGGCTTTCAATTCTCACCTACTGCAGTGAGCCAGTCGTCTCGGTGGTATTTGAATTCTCTACCAATGTCAGCATTTAGTGTGAAACTATATTTGTTGGCGGCGCCAGAACTCCGAGACATCGCTTTCTCAGTGCTTAACACTTCTCTGAACAGATGATGTGAGAGTGGCAGGTTCTTGTTTTGTTCTACTTAAGCATCGTGGCGAAATGTAAATCTGGGTGACGCAGCAGTTTTGCATTGGGACAGAATGAAGATGTTCACCAATGCTGGCTGGACGCAAGCAAGACGTTCTGTGATTGCAATAAAAAGTGACAAAAATACATAGATGGACTCTCTGTCATATTATTTGTAGGGGTTTGTTGAAACACACCATAAGTTTATGTGAAGATGAAGCCTAGGAATGAGATGAAGTCGTTCAACAAGAAATGTTTTTGGAGCCCATGTGTTGCTGCCGCCAGGAAGAGAAATGTTGATTCCAGTGACATTCCTCACTTCACAGACTTCTCATAATATAGCAGTAGCTCGAAGTTGCAAGCAGAAGAGTTAAGAGTTTCGTCCAAAGGTCTGTTAAGAACAGCAGGAGGGAGGGAGTAGTCTGGCACCAGCATCTCGGTGAGGCTATCGAGGTCTTCCGATATGGAGCATATTTAGAGCAGCAAACTTTTTCATTTTGGAGCACTTTGGAGCAGGTAATTTTGAATCTGGGAGCACATCAGAGCAGCTAGTTTCACATATCAGAGTACAGTGGAGAAGCAAGTTGCATTTATATTCAAGGGCATGAATACTTATTTTGGGGCTCTTTTGACGAGCTCGAAATATTTCTATTCTTGCATATCTCATGGAGCCAATCATCTTAGGAGCCCTCCCTACTTTTCTCGATGATGTCATGCTGTTGAGCATAAGTGTGCACAGGGTTTCTCTTCGGAAAGAGGGGGGTGGGGGAGAGGCGAGGGTTCAGTGCAGCGTCCTCCCACCCTAATAATTGAATGTATGGGGCAGGTTTCGGCCACCCCTCCATTCTACCTTAATGAGGGATGGGAAGTGGCTGTCGCCCTGCCTCCCTCGTGCGCACAGCACCCAACTTCTTCAGTGTTGTCAAATTTGTAGAAGGACGATACAGCCGGCCTGTTCAAGAACTTCAGAGAAAGCCAAGTCAATGGACCTTTCCAGAAATTGGCGCGCGCCACCTACGGCGGCTGCAAAGCATTATGGGAAGCCAGAGCAGCGGAGGAGTGTCGTCTGCTCGCGGGAGCGTTGGCTCACCTCGTGTCCTGCAGCGCGTGATCGTGCAAAGGAATCGTTGCGGGAATATCGTGTGTAATAACCCTGTTTCAATCTGCACTCACAGAAGAGGCGCAAAATGGAGCCAGCAAACATTAGTATCCTTTGCTTATTAGTGACAAGGGAAAATGCTCGCGTACCAACGAAAAGACCTCATTAAATATGGAACTTTACTCGGTTTTCGCGGCGAGTCTTCTGTGCTTCGTTATGCGTACTTCCGCATAGCGGAAGCTTTTCTCATTTGTTTTATTGTCAGCATGACCGTAGAGTTTCGTTATTAGAATACTTTATGTTGGACCTCATCATTCGTGATATGCTTCCGAGCGATAAGCAGTGCAAGACCGGCACACTTGGCGCATATGTAATCAATGTCAGAATCCCGCCCTTATAAATAAATGGGTTTGAGATCCACCATGTTGTTTAGATTTGAATACTAATTGACTGTTTCAAATGCTGCATGTGAGAATCTTTGCACTTGAAACGCTGAGATCAGTAAAAACCGGCCAACTGCCAGCACGTGCATAGAGCGGGCATTAAGTGAGAACAATCTGGTGCGCAGATTGCATATTACGGTGCAGTGTCGCACTCAATAAAGCGAGCGTACGATGCACACTTTTACTTCGCATGCAGTATTTTGTTTTTGAACAGCGTAAGACGTCTCTGCGTAGTTTCTGCTTTAATGACTGTGAATTGGAAATTAACTAAAAAATTTTGGACCTGACTGTGCAAAAGGTCGTTACTAGTTAACAATGGAAGAAATCATATAGCGTAATCAGCGTTAGTGTGCATAATCAACGCAATATTTTATTGTACTGTTTGAGCTACAGTGATTCTTCTTTTATTAGTTTATGGTTGGGCTAATTTTGTAATTTGTCATTTATATATATGCCTCTTCAAGCTGCCGAAAACAATCAAGCGTTCCTGTCACCTTTGCTGAAAGGGCCATGGGCAAAACACCAGGACTCGTCCCAGGCGTATACAGAAGGGAAAATTCCGTGGCATGAACATTGTTATGGTGCTAAGCACTATCTGGGCACAGTATGTTTAGGCCAGAAAACAATAAGTAATGCTGTGCAAGGTGGTTATTTGTGAGACTGTAACGTTAAAAGCAATACTGGAAGCCTCGTTCGGTGTAGCGCTTACATCAAGTGGCATATGTGAAAAAAGCTAATGCCGAGTTTCGCTTTTATCTATAATAATGAAACTACAACTAGCACTCTTTGCCTTGACACAGGGAAACAACAAAAAAATTAGATGCACGAAGCAAAAATATGTGAGGTGCTCTAGGTTTATCGTCAATAACAAGCAGATGAGATTGAACACATAACCATGCAGTAGAGAGCAAAATAAACACTATGTAACAGTGCAATAAAAAACTCGCAGGGCTTCTTATGCTCTCACTCAAGACGACTTGAAAGCGAAGTCCATCTGCTACTCTTTGTTCAGTCAATTTATTGATCCTTTCTTCCTTGCCGCCAATTTTTTCTGCACCTAGAGTGGCTCACTGGTTATATGACTGGATGCATTCCAAAGTTTGATCATCTTGATCATCTGGGTCTGCTCAGCCTCGGTGCTTGGCAGGCCGATCACAGAGGCAGTGCAAAGGGACGACGACGTGTCATAACGCTATCATAAGACCGGCATGATGACCTTGCACATTCTGGTGATCCGTGATGTCACGATGACGTCCTATGGTGACGCCGTCACGCGATGGTTTTTGCATTCCTCTTGACGCCGCCACGGGAGACCCCGAAGCCACCAAGGGTAAAATTCATTTTTAGGTTAAAACTTTAGATGCCTCACCAAACGTAAAATTAACTCAATTCACCGTTTGCGTTTCGCGTTGGTGGCGTCGAGTGATCGAAAAAATCATCACGTGATGGCAACAACATATATCCCAGGTCGCACAAAACATTGAAGTAACGTTGTATTTTTGTTGTGAATGTTGTAGAAACATTTTATGTTTTCAAACAACATTGTCTGAACTTTTTACATTAAACATATAACATTCTTTGTTGCATGTAAAACATTAAATATATATTAGAAGTACACTGTTAAAATAACGTTGAATGTGGAACGTTAGTGCAACATTCAAACAAAACATTCAATTTTATATTTCAAACATAAAAAAAAATATTAAAATTGCTCAAAGAATTAACAAAACAGGTAAACATTCCAGTAATGTTCATGCAACATTTTACGATCATTATTTGCCAAAATGGCCCATGAACCAAGAAATTTAATAACTTATTGCTGCAGAGAAATACTTCTTGACGTAAAATGACTGCTCTATAGAATACAGAAAAAACATTATTTCATTTAAGCAATGAAATTGGTTTTTGCTAAGTGACACCAGATAATGATAGTTGCACTAACAGATAGTGCAGTCAATCTGCGGCTATTTTTCAATTGATAGTGCAACTATTCTATGCATGCTTATGAACTGCTTTTACTGCTCAAAATGTCATGCACAGCTGTCTTTTGGTCATGTATATGTAGTAGCTTTCATGTTTCTCGCGCATCACTGTGGCATGTACTTCAATAGCCAAACTACCATGGACGTCCGCATCAGTTAAATCTTGGGGGGGGGGGGTTGCATTGCGGTGGGGCAGTGCTGGTGTGGCTTGGGCAAATGATGCTTTAAATTTGCATGCCCCTGCTGATTCCCAAGAACACTGGTGACTCAGAAAAGGTTGGCAAAAGAGTAAAGCAATTTCTTTATTGAGGTCCCAATGCTTTACATGCGGGAGTGAACCATACAATTATTGTAAATAAAACAAAGATTCTAAGGCTTCCCTAAAGCTATCCAAGTTTGAACGATGGTGATGCTCTTGGAAAGACCGTTCCAGTCCTGGGTGGTCTAGCAAAGGAGCGACAGTAGGTCACGGTGGAAAGAAGAGGCATGTAGACAGCAGTAGTGTGTGTGGGCTGAAGTATGATGAGCAGTTTGAAAGGTATATTGAAATGTATGCATTTGGTGCTACAAGTACATTCTAGTGATTGTGCATTGCAGGTATACATTACATACGCCTGAGTTAGTCTTTATCTAAGCAACACCAGCAGGTACAGCGCAAGTAACAGTATATTAATTAAAACAGATCATTACAACTGCACGGTTTAGGTCAAGCTCCATAGACTTCATTTGGGCTGCGTTCATACTGCAGATGATATCATTTTGGGCCAATTCATGTTCTGTAAGCTCCAAAATTTGACTCATGGAGGGGCAAATGCAAGTTATAATGAAAATAGCCAGAAGCTTTGTAAGTATTGTAAACTATCTTACTTCAGAAGACGTTTAGATTTTGGTAATTCTTAAAAAACAAGACACTTAGCATAGTTAAGACACCACTTCGTAGCATGACCTCACCAGACTTTTGCGATCCTTTAGACTTCTATTAGTGAAGCTGTTTAGCAAATTGCGAGTGAGTGGCAGAAAACTATTATTGTAACAGGTATGTGCCTCTGTGCAGCCTACCAGAATACTCTCATCATCATAAATGGGTATGTGTGATAGATATTGGGAAAATATCACTACTCGCCACAGGTCCACAAATAATGATGAAGGCAACAGTTAGCCCAACAAATCGCTTCAAAGCAACAGCAAATCGATGAACCCTGAGCCCGTATAAGAAAATACTAGAGAATGAGAAAGGCAACGGCAGCGGCAAGAAGACCCCGAAGCAACAAAAAGCCAGCGCTAAAGACGTGCCTGTCGATCTGTAAGAGGTGTGGACGGACCCTCAGTTTCAGGGCGAGTTTCTGTCTCTGGAATTCGAATAACTGTGTCGTGCCTGTGACTGTCTATGGACTTCTCTGATCTAAAAATCAACGTAAAAACAACCTAGCATCACCTAGCTAAAGCCTAGAAGCAACCAGATAAGTCTTCACAATTGTCCAGTTTTGCCGTTTCAAGACTTGAGCGGCATGCATGCCGACATACTATGCAAGCTTACCGAGCTATTATCTCGACAACAGTGCCCAGTGTTTCGCGGCTAGCCTCAGTCAAACCAGTTCAAGACACGCTGCAGAGCATTCGAGTTT